TCAGCTCCCGCCTGCAACGCGCAGCTACCTACCCCTCCCCCCAAACCATCGGTAAACGAAACTGCGGCAGCTACAACCACAGTACGACGAGTACGCGGTTATTACAGCTGACAATGATGACGATGATGATGGTTCAACTTGGGTGTCCGCGCCTGATACCTGTGTATATGTACAATTATGGTATTAGTATTCCGCGGAGCTTTATGCTGAGTGGGCCATTAGCAGCGACAAGCGTGTGCGTTGGATGACGGCAAGCTGAGAGCACCATGGTGAGACATCGTTCGTGAGTTGGAATGAGTTCTCATGGAAACGGAAGAAAATTGTGGAGGTTCCCAGGGAATGGTTAATTATGGTAGGGTACTTCATCGACTCTTCTTTGAACTTCTCTATTTTCCATCGGGACTAAAAACGTTTAGCTGTAACACCCTTCTGGCGCCTAGCCGTCATGCCACCCGAAGGAGGCATGATGGCTGGGATACTGCTAGGTTGCCCAAGCCTAGACAGGGGAAATCGAAATGCAGAGGTGTTGTTCGAACCACCGACCTTCCGGTCAGTAAATTCGCGCCCTAACCACGTGCACTATCGTGCCCCATCGGGACCCAGATAGATACAACGCATAAAACTGGCCTGGTGATAGTGAGTGGTATGTCCCTCCCAGTCTGCTGAAAAAGTCTGAAAAGTTATAACTATTGAAACAGATACCACGCTTTTTCACAAGAATGAAACCCCAGAGCAGACATAGGAACCAATAAATTGTTTGTTACGTAGCCACCTCCAAGTCAAGTTTAGTGCTATATTACGGAGCGGACACGCAATTTTAGATCCAGAAATCCAAATACACATTCAACAACATATGATGGTTAGAACATGCATAGATATATTTTTATCGCCATCGAAAACGACGGTATTACCACAAAACACTTACTGAATTTTTTCCAGTCTTGATCAGTAGCACACAAAAGTTGGATATTAATAGGAAGCAACCACCACATAACGTGGGAGTTTTCCTTTTCCTGATGGTAGACGGTTTCTTGTGGGTAAGCAGATCCTACCATGAGGAGATGGAAAAATATTGGAGTTACAGCATCATCCTGCAGAGTTCGAGTGTAACACACGCGCTGGAGGAAGCGGACCAAATAAAAATTTGGTTCGCCACGGCACGGATCGGCGAAAGCCTGGTTTCACAATCAGTAAAGAGGATAGCTACTTGCAGCAGACTGGAAATCTGGCCGGAAACATCCAATGGCAGTGCCGTACCGGATTGACATTCTTCAAGTAAGTTCTTCCACCGCAACATTAAATGTTCTTCTGACGCACTGATAGAGGGAACCATGGCTGCTTCAGTGAAAGGTGGAGAAGACCTCAGGAAATCCGTCACGGATTTCCAGGTGCCACCGATGAGGGTAATACCCTTTGGAAGCATTCCTATAAAGTTGAGATAGTAATACCCTTTGGAAGCATTCCTATAAAGCTGAGAGGAGATAGTTTAGGATGGACCAGTAAACCAAGATTTGAACTCCGAAGTATGTTTGATGGTTTAGTTAGACTATCCTTGCAATCCAGAGCCCTCTTTAATCCAGAAGCCAACTCCGTACCTTGAAACTAAGGTACTAAGGTAGACAATCGATCAATACTGCAACAATCACGGACACACACAAGAACTAATCGGTTTCCCTTTCCATACATTTAATTCAAGAAAAGGCTCCATAATTTGGTGTACTATCGTATCATCATATTGCGGGTCACAGGAGAACGGAAAATAAAAAAGCGGAAAACCACACAAAAAGCCATCGAAACGTCCAAAGACATGAAAAATGAGTAATTATACGTGACATGACATAGTCGGTTGTGAGTGAAAAACCACACAAAAAGCCATCGAAACGTCCAAAGACATGAAAAATGAGTAATTATACGTGACATGAGTCGGTCGGTTGTGAGTGAATGGGTAGGCGTCAACCACGTTATGTCAAGTGTTTCTGCAGCGTCACACGTACCGCCGTTCAGAACTTTGCGGTCTTTCTGGACTATGGTGAAGCTATCGGCTCCGAGGACCTTAGATTTCCCCCAAGCTCTTGATCATCAGCGCCTCCGAAACATGGTTAGAGCCGGCTGGCTCGTGCGAGAACGCAATGAGGTGGCGTGTAAGCAGATCCTTGGTAGTGGATCCGAATCTATAGAGCAGTAGACAGAACTTAATAGGTGGCTATGGCATGTACTACGACTGCCAAACTGTCGTCTAACCGAGAAATCGTTGCTTTTTGTTCCACATCACTGTTATCCGAAGGTTCCCGAAGGATATGCCATGATATGATGAGATCAGAGGATAGACGGGCTTAGTGGAGCTTAAGATGGCTGTGCTTAGCACGCGAACTTGCTAGCTGGAAGGTTCGCGGTTCAAACCCAACTTCGGCATCTCGACTGTTCCTGTCTAGGCCTGGGCAACCTGGGAGTATTTCAGCCCCTCTTGATCCTCTAGATGTCATGGCAGATAGGCACCGAAAGGGTGTTGCAGCTGAACGATTAGTATAGTATTAATAGAGCCAGAGTGATACATACACAATCTCGAACCCACTTCAAAATCGCGTCTGCATTGCAGTGATTTAGGATTTGGAGATTGACTCCACTACCCTTCTGATGCCTAATCCAAATACGCTCTGTAACGACCCTTACCTGAACAATCAGCGCCGCTTCAACCCATTCCCTTCCTTCCACATACGATGTCAGGATATGTTGTCAGGTTTATTTTGAATACCAACTCAGTTGGACAGCGATTTGTGAGCTGCACAGTGGTAGGCTGGTGGCTTCGTCATCTAAGAGCGAAACAAGTAGTCTTTGGGGTCACGACGACTGCACCTGGAGGTTATGACGCCTGAACTGGCATTACAGGTTTCCTTTCGTTACTTGAGATAATAGTAATGCCTCAGATTATTTCTCGGTCTGAACCTTCCAAGCTAGCGTTACACAGCTAACAAGCCACCAAGGGTACATACGGTGTACTAAACGCCTAAAACCAGGTCAAAACATGTAAAACGCGCCGTATTCAAGGTGTATCAGGCGACAACATCCTGGGACTTCAGAGGGCTTTCGGACGCGCCACGGGCAACCGGCATCCGGCGGACAGTGAACCTCTATTGGCTGTTGGATCCATGCCTTCGGCCAACCAGAGCTCGGTTCGACTTTGGACTGACCACTTACCCGAGGTGGCCAATCGTATGAGGCTTAGGTGTCTCAGCTGCAGCGTGGCCTAACTGCGAGCGGACAGGTGGTCTTGGCGTGGGATTCCGTCTAACAGACCACGCGTTCTGAAGCATGACTTTTCACTTTGAAGGTGCTAAGCGCGTGCCGAAAGATGGTATGACGGTGGTCAGTTTATTCAACAGTGCCTGTGCATGGCTTTCATCTTCGAAGATGGGGATGATGTCGACATCGTGATCGGGTCCACCATGCTTATCTGTCTGCGCCTACGCTGAGTTTCGCCTAGCACTGGATGATGCGCTGGGTTGAGTTGTGGTTGCCACCAGGGGGAGTCTCTCGCCAGACCGGCGAGACCATGGCCTTGTCAGAGATTCATGAATCTCTGATCAGTGTTTGTATGAGGCTGGCTGGATTGTGCCGCATACAGGAGTTCCGGCTTTGAGTAATGCTTTGGATATCCTTCGCAGTGTTCACTGTGAGCAAATTATCTGCTGCTATTCAGTTTGGTGAACAATTCGGACGACTTGAAATCCTGGAGTTCCAATGCCAGTGCCCTCCAAATGGATGTAGAC